CCCAAGACTCCTTGCTGCAAGCTATTTTATTTTCTATTCAGGTCAGAGTTGCTAAGAAATCCTTGCTCTCTTCAATGTAAGAGGCAGTGGGTTATAGAATCATCAAAAGGAGACACAGGGAATAGCTGCAAGGCGATTGCCTTCCTCCTATGGGGACAAATGCTGGATTCCACCCTATAATGTGTTCCTCGTGTAGCTGAATCTTATTTCACTGGTGGGTGTAACCAGAGACCTTTGCCCCCAAATTCATTGCAAGCGGCTGTGGACAACAAAGGCCCCTCGACGACTGATGAGTTCTTCTGGAATGAGCGTAATCCAAAACCCATCACAGAGTTTTATTAGAACCAGCAAAGGCGACAGAACTATTGGTCATAACTCCAAAGAAGTTAGAGAAAACCCACACACTTCAGGGACTGATGCAAAGCTATTGCTTTAACTAGAGGTTCACATGAAGGATTTTTTTCTTTAATTTCTCATTGACTGAAGGCAGAAGAAAGTGCCAGTGTTGTCAAATTTGGGCCACTATTTTGGCTTTTTTTTTTTACTTTTCTGGAAAATGTGATCACAAGCCTCTCTAAGACAGAGAATATCTTCTGTTAGTTTAAATTTGACACACCTCATCTATAACTCAAGATGATTATAGGAACTAAGTAGAACTTAGCCTTAGCTTAACTTGTTTGCTTGGCAATGTTCTCTTGTTTTTACTGCCTTTTGCAGGGGAGAAGACAAACCCTTGAGAATTAATGAAATACGATTCAGACTGAGTCAGAAACCTAGCTTTTATCAATTATTGAAATGGTACCCTAGGAAAAGTTCTCAACTTCCCAGTGGATTTGGGACAGCAATTATTATCAAGGACAATCTAATTACTTAGGGTTCATCATTTTAATTTCACAGATGAGAAAATAAATGTTACTGAGAGAAATTCTATACTTTGCACAAACAGCAGAGTGAGCAGGTGTGGAGCTAGACACTAAAATCTCACTGAGGCTCATTTTCCATGCACTCAGTTTGCTCTATAGTGTTTTCTTCTGTAGAAAATACTTTCTCTAGGACACTTTTCACTGGACATTCACCTACTCTTCCTTCCCCAGTCATGCACTTTGCCAAATTTTGGACCAACATATAAACACAAACTTTAGTTTAATTCTGAACTCCAGTTTGCTTGTAATCACCTCTCTTGCATTTCTGGATCCTAACTGGCATCGCAATATGCTATAAATTATGGAAAGGAGGGATTTGGGATGTTTAGAATATCAGAGCATCCATAATTCTGTTTCCAGAAACCTGCTACTTTCTGGACCACCCCAAAATAGTACATCAATGGAGCTTTTGAGATAATTCTATTATGACAGCATGGACGATGCTGTAATATAGTTTTTATTTTATATGTCTGTCAAATCAACTATTTTTAAACTCAAATAGGGCAAGTGCTGAGTTTTCTAAATTTGTAAGTAATTTAGTTAGGTACATGAAATGGTTATAGGAAATTTTTCTAGACACAACCAAAGAAAAATTTATATTGGATACATACACACACAGTTATTTAACAGATTCATATTCACACTTAAAACATTTACTGTATTTAATAAACTCCCTCTTAATATAAGCCAATATACTGTCAATATACCAGGTAGGGAACCATACGTATGAGATCTCTGCCCTCATAAAGCCTTCTGGTTATTTGGGAAGACATAATTATACAAATAATAGCAAGTGCAAAGAGTTCAATGAAGAAATAAGGTGGGTGCTATGTAGGCATATCTTTAGTAAGTGTGGGCGGAGATTGCTAAGAGGGCTTTCTGGAGAGTATAGCATTTAAGCAGAAATGTAAAGGATGGTCAGGAATTAGTTAGGTAAACTGGGGTGGGGAGAAAGTTCATTCTAAGCAAAAGTAACCAACACATGAAAACCTCAAAGATGGGACAATCTATGGCACTTTTATGACACCGACAGAAGTCCAATGTGGCTGAATGGTAGAAGCAGAGCCCTGTGGTGGGTTTGAGGGGATGCTGAAGTAATGGGTCGGGAATGTGCTGGTATCAAAAAGCAATAGGAGGTGTTGATGCATTTAAAATTTTGAGCAGCAAGAGCTGATTTGAATTTTAAAAAGAATGCTTACATTTGAAAGAAGCATCAATTTGAACGGTATAAGGATGGATTTGAAAAGACTAGTAAGGATGCAAATATAATAGAGCTATATATGCTGGTGGCTTTAACTAGGATAACAAATGTAGGGCCGAAGAGGAGAGAGTTAAGCAAATGGATTTGAAAATACTTAGGGAGAGTAATCAATCAGTTATTGATTGAATTTATCCTTGTGGGAGGATAAAAAAAAAGATCCAAGATAAAGTTGCAAATTTCTAATTTTAACAACAGTTGGACGGTGATACCATTTATCAACATGAAAAACCTGGGGAAAAAGGAAATTTGGAGTGGGATGGTCATGATAACTATATTATCTGATGTTTATTGAGCATTTACTATGTGCCAGTGACTAAGTGTTTTATATATATATGTTATTTAATTTTCTTATGACTTTGAAGTAGACACAGTTATGGATGATTTATGTAGCCCTCCCTACAGTCATATAGCTGTACCTGGAAGGACTAGGATTTCAGCACAGTCTAATCTCAGAAGCCCTGAGTTTACTTATTACCCTATTTGAGGATTCATGTAGAAATGCTGATTAGAAAGTGAAATATATAGTTCTAGATCTCAGAAGCAAAGACTAAACAAATGATATACATTAGGGTCTCATTGGATTAGTCATGATGGGCTATAAAATCTCAATGATTTAACAGAATAAATGTGCGTTTCTTGCTCACATGTCCCTCTCTGGTGGCTCTCCTTGGCAGCTTCTCTCTAAATGTTGACTCAGAGATCTAGACTTCTTCCAACTCGTGGCTCAACCACTCTGGGATTTCCTTGGAGTCCTCCACTGGTTTCTCTGCATTCAGTTACCTGATGAACTACGAGAAGGAGTGCAAGATATCTCACGGTATTTTAAGGAGCCAGAATTAGAAGTGGTATGCACCATTTCCACCCAAATTATAGCGGCCAGACAATTCATGTAGCCCTAATTGGTCACTTACACTTAGCTCTTGACTCAGGAGGAAAATAGATTTTTCACAATCATATAGATGATGACTGAAGCCATGAGAGTGAATGAACTCCCCTAGTGAATGCGTAAAGAGTTAGAAAGATGGCCTAGGTCCGATATCTGACAAGATCTGTATAATAATGATGATGATTAAGAATAGCTAAAACTTTTAGAGCACTTACAATGTTCCAGGCACATTTACATATATTAATTCATGGACTCCTTATAAAAGCCCTTTGATGTACTGCTATTATATCTTTTTTTATAGAGATAAAGAAATAAAGTTACAGAGATAGTAAATAACTCTCTGGAGGTCACATAGTAAGTAAGTGGCAGAATAAGAATTTGAAGGCAAGTAGTTTGTTTCCAGAGTCTATGAGTTTAATCTATGTCATATGCTACATAATTACTAACCTCAAGTACCTGAAAAGTGTCACATTAATATGTAAGTATCTTTGCTATGAGTTCCCAAGGGGCAGGACTAAAACTAATAAATGGAATTTAAATTATGGTAGCGTTCAGCCCTGGAAGAAGGCAGCTCTAACAGAGCTATCTAAAAGAAAGCAAACTGCATCCTGAGATAGTGAGATTCTCATCTTTGGAAGTACCCAAGCATAAGAAGAACAAATCCTTGGTAAGGGTGTCATAGAGAGGATTCAACCATCAAATGAGTGCTTGGGAGAGATAACATTTTTTATTATTAATTTCTATCTTTAAGTTCCGGGATACATAACATTTATGTTCTCCATATATTCACCATTTCTTCCAGTGAGTGTATAACACTTCTGCCAGTCTGATTTCTGAATCAGTTACTTAAACTAAGTTCCAATTTCTGTATTTTCCACATATTCGCCCTGAAAGTAGGAGGAGAAAAAAAAGGAAACATAAAAGAAGAATGTGCCTCCATCCTTAAAGATCTTATAACTTAATTAAAGAGCAAAGACATACAGGTGTGTATCATCCTTGAATTGCCAGAGCCACCTGTTTAGAATCTAATCTGGAAGAGATTGAGAGTGATTTACAGATAGCAGAGGCTCTCAAGGTTAGCTCAGATGTGTTAGCTCTCTGCTCCAAAGTCCTTTTGCTCTCCGCTATCAAGGTTGTTCTCCAGTTTTAGCAAGCATTGAATCACCTGGAGGGCTTGTTAATCAACCTCAACTTTCTTATTCAGTAGATTTAGGTTGGGGCCTGCAAATTTGCATTTCTAACAAGTTCCCGGTGATGTTGCTGCTGCTGGTGATGTGATCTCACTTTGGGATTACCGCTCCAAGACTTATCATTCAATATCATAATCTTCTGTTTATGTGTCTAGCTTCTTCTTTTGAACTGGAACAGAGACTATCTTCTTTGTCTTTATATATGAAGGGTCTACCCCTCCGTTCTTCAGTAAATTTGTGTGAAGTAAATAATTTGAAAGAAATGTGTAGTTTTCTAGAAGCACAAAGGAGGGAAGAAACTATGGCAATCAGCAGGGAAGAATCCTGTGTCCCCTCCTCCCACATGTTTGGAAACATGATTCTTGCAAGGAGGTGTTTAAGTTTAAAAGCAACCTTATGCAAGCACAAATGTGTATACAAATACCCCATTTTATAATTATGCACACAGGACGACAGTCCTCAAAGGAGCATCAGAATATTCCCATCTTCCTTTTTTGTCATTTTCCTTCATCTTCAGACTGTCACAGCCACTTCATGAAGGAAAATATTCTTTCTTGTACATTGAATGTAATTTGCCCCTTCCTGGAGTCCATTCCCTTTGGGTTGGTGTTGGCTGAACTTTGCAGTCTTCACTGAAGGGGGAACCCTTTCTCACTGTTCCCTGGGAGAGCAGCCCCTTTGAAGTCACAGCTGGCTTGACTAAACTCATTTCCTCCATCCACAATGTGCCTCTGATGTAGTGTTGGCTAAGGCTCCCTCTTGCCGGCTCCCGCTCTTGAAACAGACCCAAGTGCAATGTTCAATGTGAGTGTTTGGCTTGGCTTAAATTTGGCCGAATCATCTGTACTTTGTTTCATTTGAAAGCCTTACTTTTTTTCTCTCTTTCTTTTCTCTCGCAACTAGTTCATTCCAGATGTTTTTGATTTGTCTTTTAGTGGTCTACTCCACCCAGTTCCTAAATCAGTAAATCATTTTCATGCTTCTTCCAAAATCTAAGGAAAGAAAATGCTCAATTAGAGGGAAACTGATTGTAGGTCTCATAGAGTTTACACTTGGGGATGGCTGCTCTCCTCAGGAACTACCTTTGAAAGGTAGGAGAAAATGTCTTGCTTGAGAATACTTAGATTTGGCTTTGCTTCACCCTCCTTTCAACTTTTCAGCATTTGGAATAGGAAAGCAGGCAAAATGTTGATATGCTAATATTATGCATGTCCAAGCTCATCCTCTACTTTAAGGCTTGATGTGTAATTGCTATTCTTGCTTGAAGTCATTCAATTACTGAAGTGCAAATAGAAGTTCCCATTATCTGAACCCATATGTGGCGGTGATAGAATGTACTAACATATAATATTAATGGCCTTTCTCTCTTTACCGTCACCTTTTACCCTTCTCGGCATTTTGATTGTGATGATGAGGGTAAGGACAAAATGTTTGCTTTATTATCATTATGAAGAGTAAAGAACTTGTCCTTGGTGGAAATCACAGACCCGATAGGCTAGTCAAAGATTTTAGAGAGAAAAGTCAGTAGATTCCCTGAGTTTGGGAAGAGAGTTTTGGCTATATTGAGAGCAGAGATGAGAGATTGAAGGCAACTGACTGTATAATAAGTTAAAAAAATGGAGAAGAAAATTTTAAGACATTTTGCCATCACAAATGCAATTTCTCTCTGATGCCTTTTCAAGTGATTTTAGTTAAGATTACATGTCTTTCTAAGACTTTTCTTTTGGAGAGTATATGTTTTGTCTTTCAGATTTGATATTCAGATGAGACATACTGTTCAGGTTGCACCTATAAAATGTTGTGATACTTAATTAATTTCATTCTGCTGTATTATCATCTGACACCAGAACCCAGCAGAAGACAAATGGCTTTTAGAGCTATACAGATGCTCTAGTTTTTTGTGAGAAGAGTTCTAGTTACTCATGGCATAATGCATTTAATTAGGTTAATTACTCAGCTTCTCTGAATCACTTCTTAAAGGTGATTATATTAATATCCAACTTGCAGGACCATCTTAAAAATTAAATGAGATCATTTAAAGTACCTGTCACTGGTAAAATTTGTAACTGGTGTGTTGAACAACCATAAATCATAAAGTGGCATCAAAACACAGCTTCATTTTGATCTTCAACTTTAACTTTGTTATTCAGTTACTCAGTTATCCAGGCCACTAGTTGAAAATGTTGGCAGATTTCATCAATTTTTGGGCATTCTTAGATAATAGGTAATAGATGATAGAAAATTATCCAATCACGCTGTATATCAAAATCAGATGAGTCAGAAATGTCTAGTAAATGTCGAATTCAATGTGATAATCTAGAAGTTAATATTATAGCCTTCATTGAAAGATAAGACATCTTCCCCTAACCCATTCATTAAGTTGGGCAACCTAAGTAGGCCAGTCTATGTTTGGGAGGATGGGGTATGAGTAGCCCCCTCTTTTCACTCACCTTCCTTCCCTCCTTTACTGCGTGTTCACCTGTTTTCTAAAGCTTGAATTGACAGCCTGCCCTGCATTGAATGCAGGAAGAGAATTTGGATAGAGGTGAGAATTCTGATTTGGCCAGTTGTGAAAATGCTTCTTATCTGAGCCTGTCCGATGAGTTCAGTTAACATTTTTTCTGATGAATATTTCTGTGGGATCTTTGGAGCCTCCCCACAGAATTTCTTTTAGCAGGATGTCATGGGCATAGGAAGGGTCATAACTCTTGGTCAGTGTAACCCTGATACACATTAAACTCATATTTCCAGCAGTCTACTCAATATACGCTCAATGGATGTATGGATGTCTTTGCCCTCTGGCAAAAGCCCCCTTTGGCAGGATCTATATTTAAATGACTGACCTTTCCAATGAGATTCTGCATCCGAAGACTGAAATTCATACCGAGGGAGGTGCAGTGATTTTCCAGACCCCTACTCCCACTCTGTGATGGCAGGCCATTTCACCTTGCGCTATACCTGAATATGCTGAATATTCTCCAGGCATGTGCTACTCATTAGGCCACAGCATTTCCCTAAATTCTCTCCAGAATGTGTAGAACATTCTCTTCAGCCAGAGAAACTCTCTTTAAGCTTAAGGTAAAATAAGGTGAGAGTAGGGGAGGAAGGGATGGCATCAGAGCACAGCTTTTTAAAAATAAATATTTTCCAGAAAAACATTCTTTCTAATCTCTATTCTTTCATCACCCTTTTAACATCTTTGTGGGTTTTAGGTCCATATGACTCTCAGACTTACTCTGAAACTTCTGCAGGTGACGCAGAACCCCATCTTGGAACTTTTTATCTATTTCATCTTGCTGCTTTAATAAAAACTTCCAAGTTTATATCCTGTTATACACCCCAATGTCACAATTTTTGTATTTTACCATCACCAAATGAAACATAAGTTTTTTGAAAACTCTAGCAATTATAATGTCTTTGGCACAGTCTATCGTATACCTAATATGGCAATGCTCACAGAGATCTATAAGAAATTAGTTTTAATTAAATTGAATGCCTCGGGTTTGTCTTAATTAACACATATGTAGAAATGTGGTATGGTTGAGTGATCTATAAATATATGCTGAATTAAAGAAAATGAGTTCACATGAACTCTGACTTTGCTATTTGGCTTTGTAACATGAGGTGAAGCATCACTTCAAAAGATAGTTTCTTATTTATCAAATTGAAATTTTGTTGCTATCACCTATGAGCCCCTTTTATTAATAGCTGTAAAAACTCCAGAATTGTATAATTCTACACATGGATTTTTCTTATTATAATAGTTTCACATGTGTTCCTCATATGGTCAAGTAGACAGCAAGGGGATTGTGGGTAGGACTATGGATCACCTGTGTGTTTGTAGGAGTAGATGTAGTTGATAAAATTTTTCACCTCATCTTCTGTAAAGAGCCTAAGTGTCCTAGAAGAGACAGGTTAATATGGATCAAAAGCAATGCCAAGCATGATACTGTTGGGTAATCTTTCTAATTGGTGGGTGATTAAGAACTGATTAAGGGATAGAATGTCACTATAGTGTGCTCTTTTGGAGTCTTCTGTTTGGTTTCTCTTGTGCACATTATGGCTTTGTGAAATTTGCACATAGATATATAGGCAAAGCAATTTCTATAGGATTCAGTAATCTACAAGTCCTATGCAGAAGAGCCATCTGTGAAGCTCAAAGGAAGGAGTGATCGCCTCACCTCTGTGGGGTTCAGAGGAGCTTTCACTGAAGAGAGGAAGTTGGATGAGACTTAGAGAATGATTAAGCATTTATGAGATAGAAAAAGAAGAAAGAAAGCTGACCTTAGGTAGAGGAAAATGGAAGTATTGATTTTTCTCTTCCTTTCAATGGGATTGGCAATAACTGAGAAAACTATGAAGAACTGGGACCCAAATGAGCTTTGGCAATATATACTAACAATAAAAATGCACTTACCAATGACACAGTAATCCTCTTCTGAGACGCACATCCTGGAGAAGCTGTCATATATGTGGACATGGAAATATGTCACAAAATATTTATAGCTGTATTATCTATGATAGTGAGAAATGGGAAGCCATTTAAATATTTATCATCATATATATGCAGCATATTAATCTGTGAGAGTACTATGATAAGGTGAATGAACTAGCAATACACCCATCAATATGAGTAAATCCTGACAACATAATATTGAGCACAATAAAGAAACATTTTATAAGAATCTTAATATGGTACTCTTCACATATAAAGTCTATAATATGAAAGAAAACCCTTGACATTGTTAAGGAATTCTTTTGTATTAGTATGACAACATTCAGTAAAATAATACACACAAAGTTTAGTGGTGGTTATCTTTGGGATAGGAAATGTGTGAGAGAAGAATGGGAACAAAAAAGTATATACAAAGAATATCAATTGTATTGCTAGTGTTAGCTCTTAAGCCTAGTGGTAGGGGCATTTTTCTTTCTGGTATTCTTTAGAATTATCTGAACATATTAGATGCCTGAAATATGTGTGCCATATACATGTACACAAAAAATCTTTTTAAAATATAAGCCCTATTGCTGGCAAATGTACATTGAGACATATGACTTAGGCTAGAGAGCAAAATGGGCTCTCAGTGCTTCCTCCTAAATGAACTTTGCCCTCCATCACAGGGCAGGAAATCTCTACACTACTGACCTTGTCACAATGAAGCAGGAACAGAGAAAAAAGCATGATTCACGTTGTAGGTGGTGAGTCACAGAGGCTGACCAACTTGCTCTCTTGATCCATTAATTAGACAAATCTTTCCTCAGCAGAGGCATGAGTGAGAGGTTGTATTAGTCTGTTCCAATGCTGCTATGAAGAAATACCCAAGGCTGGGTAACTTATAAAGGAAATTAATTGACTTGCAGGTCTGCAGGACTAAGGAGGCCTCAGGAAACTTACAGTCCTTGCAGAAGGGGAAACAAACATGCCTTTCCTCACATGGCATCAGGAGAGAGAAGTGCTGAGCAAAGGGGGAAAAGCCCCTTATAAAACCATCAGACCTCATGAGAACCCACTCACTATTATGACAACAGCATGGAGGAAACCACTCCCATGATTCAATTACCTCTCACCAGGTCCCTCTCATGACACATGGGCATTACGGGAACTACAAGATTGAATTTGGGTAGGGACACAGCCAAACCATATCTGAGGTGGTGAAAATGTCCAAGATTGTCCTCATTATTTCTGAGAAAGCAGAAGTTTCTATTATAAGGCCCATTCCTTCCCTTTCCTCTTTAATAACCTGAGCCCTCAATTGATACTTATGTTATTTATTAGAAAATAAGTTTTATTGATATAAAATGTG